TGTCTATGGTATGACGGGACCACAGCCAGGCTGGAGCCAGTGCAGGAATGGGAGGTGCGTGGGGGCTTAGACATGACCTGGGTAGGTGACTCTTCCAACAAGTTTGGAAGTGAATGGAGCAGAGAAGGAGGACAGTCACTGGAGGGTGTTCAGAACCAAAGCAGAGTTTTATTTTAAAGATGTAAGCATGAGCCTATATGTTATGGGGATAATCTAGAGAGGGAATTATTGATAAAACAGATTAGGCAGCGGTTCTCAACCTGTGGGTCGTGACCCACAGGAACTGTGTTAAAGGGTTGCGGCATTAAGAAGGTTGAGAACCTTCTTAATTAGATTGGATTAGAGGGTTGGGAAGGAACGGGGAGAGAGACTTGACCAAGTGAGATGAGGTGAGGACACTTCTGCCAAGGTGGTGGGACCAGATGGGTTTGCAGAACTCATCATGGGAAGACATGGGAGCTCAGGTCTGATGAACTCTGGTCTCAGTGAACTGGATCACGTGACAAAGAGGTGGGTGTGAGAAGTGAAGAAAAGATGAGGAGAATTTCTGCAAGACACTCCCTTGCCCCACTTCCTTTCCTTGCTGTTAATTTCTTTCTCAATGATTTGTTTGGCCTTTGATTCTGGAGAGAAGTGCTTGGTGGAATGGGGAAAGGACTCCAGGAGTTCTGGTCCTTGGAAGAGGCTGTAAAATGGGGGAGAAATTGCAGGAGAACTGAGAGACCGCAGCTGGAGATTCATGCTGCAACAAATTAAAATTTAATTCATGTTACCTTAGTTTTTTTTTTTAATGTCAGAGAAAAATCCCCCAAGTTGCTTAGCTATCTAATAAGACAGCTGAGGTGGGTTTTCACATGATTGCTATACATAAGGACACTAGAGGGCAGCATTGTTAAAAGAAAAAATCCACGGAGCCTGGACTTCTAGGTACTGTTTTCCCAGTATCACCGACGCGCATTTTAAAAGCATCCTAAGCACAGCGAAGATTCTGAGTGGGGAAAAGGACGTTAACAAGATCATCTGGTACATTGCCCTCACCTGCCTCTGGGAACAGACAGTCAGACGAATGTGATTAAATCTGATGACCCAGGAGACTGACAGTGACTCCCCCACCCACACAGAAGCCTCAGTCCCAGTGGGTCAGCCCTGACTGCCCATTAGGAACACCTGGAAGGGCTTTAAAAATCACCCATTTCCAGACCTCCACTGAAGGGCTCTTATATCAGAACTGCTGGGGAGGGGGCCCTAGCATTGATGATACTTAAAAAACTCATCCTAGATGATTCTAGTGCCACACTAGGGTAAAAACCAATGTGCTTGGCTACAGCAAATGGTCTCAAGTAGCCCATGGCATGGCAGCACCAGCAGGCCCTGGGAACTTGTCACAACATAAATCCTAGGGCCTCACCCCAGACCCAGCAAAGTGTAGACTCTGGGACTGGGACCCAGCACTTTGTTTTAAGCTGCCCTCCAAGCAATGCTGATCCACGCTAAAGTTTGAGAACCACTGCTGTCCCCTGTCCCCTGCTAAGCCATTTCAGTGGGTAGAAACTTCCTCCCTCCTTTCCTCTTTTGCTCTTTCATCTAAGCAAAATACTTCCTACTACAATTTAAACTTCAGGAATTTATCTCAGTACCCATGCAAACAGATAGTTGCTATATGTACACACACACTTTGGGGCGAATCAAAATCACCCAGGGAATTTGATACAAGTACAGAGGTCCAGGCACTATCCTCCTTCAGTGAGCCAGGGCCTTTGTGTTTTTATTAGCTTTCAAGTCACAAAGTTTGAGGAAAACCATCTAAACACAGGAAGATGTTGCTTATTCTCCCTTTGGGCTCCTTTCCAGACTGAAAGATCATTACTCTAAGCTGATGATGCCTCCCCTGAGCTCAAGGCCACAGGCGGCTCCTTCACCACCTCCATCATGCTCGGCGCGCTCTGCACAGGTGCTGCAACCAGCTTTGCTCCTGTCTATACAAGTCGTTTTGTTCCTGTCTATAAAGGGAGGGTGATATTGACCCTGTGGAATCCTTTCTAACACTGACGTGGAATAATATGTGTAGACTAATTTGTGAATCTGAAACAATAATACAAACTGAATAACAAGCCATCAGAATACATCCCAGATTCTCCTTACACAGGCCCAGCTTCTAACATTTCAGTGACATTGCTCTTTCAGTAATGTAGGGCATTTGCATTTTAAAATATGAATTTTATGCCTAAGGAATAAATATAACTTCTTTTGGGTGAAATTTTTTTGGATAAATATTTAAATTTGTTTAATTGGGCCTCATGCCCAAAAGGGATAGCTCACATGAAGCCCTTTTTCATGGGAAACATTCTCTAGTGAAAGTTATAAGCCCATAGTTAAACATGGCATGAGCAATAAGCCACTAGAAAACCAAACACTTGAAATTTGTGTTTTGATCAAATAAAGTGACTCAATCTGTCTGTAGAGACAAAGTGATAAAACCAAAGGAATCTTTAGAGATAGTCCAATGTAATTTCCCCTTACTCTAGATGAAGAATTATTTTAAGGCACAATTAAAAACTTGCATATTAATAATTATAAATCTTTAAATATGTTTGGAAATGCTGAAAATGGATGCACAAAATAACAATGTTATTATGTAGTGGAATTCTATGTGATTTTCTTCTAAATTTTTCAAGTTTCCTATAAATATGTGCTATTATAATATACTTTTATAATGTAAATAAAGAAAGACCATCCAAACAAGCAAAGGCACTACTTTAAACCCT